ATATATATATATATATATATATATATAAGGTCATCCCGTCATCCCACTTCAGCAGTGACGGTCCTTTTTTCAGAACGGAGTTACCAGAACGTCATGCCCCCGAAATCCACTGTCATTATGAGCATTCAATTGGAATAACGTAACTCTTGATGAACCGACAAAGGCCCAGTCTGTTCTTGAAGTATTCACTTTTGCACGCAGTATCTCTCCTCCATTTCTCGTCAGCGGTTCTTCGAACTTGCTATCAAAGACTCCAAAGTAGGATTGATAAGCCTCCTCCCTGATCAGGTAGCACACGAAGCAAAAGGATTAAGATCCACGGAGCATAATGGCCATTCTTCGGTGCAATGATGCCGGACAGTCCGCGTAGGCACCACTATTGATAGAATTCGGCTTGGAAAAGTCCAGTCTTGCTGGCACGAACGCGGGATGTTCCAGGAAGTGCAATCGGATCGAAGCTCCAATACGTCTATTCACGCCGGTAGCTACGAAACCAATGGCATCTTACCATTCTCGTAACTTTCATAACAACTTTTCTTGGAAGGTGGTACATTCGATGTTGCTAACCAGAACGCGATAGCTTCCTTAGGAAGGGCTCTATAGCGTAAATCCGTAAGCTTGAACGAGGGATGCGTATCTCCACTCAAGCGAGTTGCCGGTCGCCCCTATACTGCCTGTAGTGATCGAATAGCATGTAGCAATATTCATATGATAGCAAAGGCAATGAAGATTGGCACGGTTCACGATAGGGATGGTTACTGAGTTCTTCCTTTAGGAATACTCAGTGGCTTCCATGGGTGGTAGAGGAGACCCTCTTGCTCCCAAAATCTCGACGGTCAGGACATAGCGGAAGCCCTGTTGCTGGCTTGAGTGGCTTTCCCGCCTCTTGATCGATGTCACGTCAGACGAGTGGCGAGGCAATACAGATTGCTATTATTCGTTCTAGGACCCACACACAACCAACTGATCGCTGAGTGATGAGGCGATGTTATTCTTCCATTCTTTTTTCCTCCGTTATTCTTTTTGCTTCCGCGATCCCTTTTTCAATTTCCTACCCTAAGAGACTGAAAAGGTGAGGTATTTCTGCTGTAACTAGGGCTTTTGTTTACTTACGCTCATAAGTGAACGAATTTTGGCTTACCGTAGTCAGTTATTTGCAGCAGGACCCACACGTACGCAATGATGCACTGTGCGTAGCTCGTCCAAACGCCTCACTCTTCTTCATTCTTCTAGTCTCATTCTCGTCCAGCCTCTTCTCACTTCGGAAACACCGATCCACGCAGTTCCTTCGCCTCTGCACTATTTTCCATCTTATCTTCGATTTTTCGTCATAATCTGGGTTACCCAAAATTATCGTGAACTGTGTCTTCACCAACCCGACCCATTAACAACTTGGGTCACCCACAACTTTTTCGATGGGCCACCCAGGATTACAATCGACTCTTAAATGGACTATTTCGATAGTCCTATCATCGAAAACACTGATCCTTTGTCCCTTCCAGTTTTGTCCTTGATTGCTTTCACCTCTATGTGTCGTTAATTGGCTTCTGTTGGGTCATTATCGAAACCATAGAGAATTTCACTATGCCCTTGTACTACATGCTAATAATTGCAAATGGCTTTGATTGAGTCTTCACCATGTTGAACGTTTCGGGAGTCTCACCTCGGTCCGAATGCAGATTGCAGGAAAATATACTTTTGCAACTATTTAATAGCTAATGAAACGAAATCAATGAATTACTCCTGTCTTGGAAGGTTTTGAAAAATTGCGCCCATAAATTTTAGACACACTGAAGACCTCACCTTTAATGGCTACTGCGAACTTCTATGGGTTTAACAAATTCTCTATATCTAAGACAAAAGTCATCTGCATCCCTTCTTGTTTTCGAACCCTTATTTTATTGCTGAATGAAATACATTATCTTAGATTAGCATTTTGATCTGCTGTTATAATGCCATATTGTTGTCCAGTAATCCTACTTACTATAAAGCCTTCGTCTGTCTGTCTGTCTGTCTGTCTGTCTGTCTGTCTGTCTGGCCGTCTGTCTGTCGTTCTGTCTGTTTGTCTGTATGTCGTATGTCTGTCACGAAATTTCTTAGGTTCTCTAGATCCTGCCTGGAGAGACCGGGTCAAGCGTGAGATGGATGGGCCATACCTCGAGAAGTATAAAGCATACATCAGCTCGGCAGAGCCCCGCCCACAGTGGGTGTGGCGTCCATCGAAATGAGCTGTACTGAGGGCCAAGATTTCAAATTCAGTCACAAAACGGCTCTAAAACTAGGGTGTAAAGGTGTGCATGGATAAGTTAGATCGAACTGGGGAGATCCACCCCCTGATGGGAGGGGGCGAGATGATGTCATTATATGCCATCTGGGTCCATACAAGTTGGCTGAACCGATCAGAAACTGCAGTGAATCAGACATGAAACAACAGACAACATGAGCAAAGAATGAGCAAAGATGAACTCACGCAGTTGCCTCACAGATGCTCCGTTTCTCTTTTCTTTACCTCCTCCGAATGTGAGAGTAAACTTAAGCGAATCCATTTGATGAGCAGCAAGACGAAATAGCCATCTCGTGTCATAGATCGTAAGAGCGAAACAAAAAAGTGACCTGCAATACATAAAACTAACTCGAAGGGCCGCCATACAGAGTGGTTGAATATTTCACAAAGCTGTTCTACTTTAATGATAAGGTTGCGTCTTTCGAGGTGACGATAATGCGACACAGTTCCGATCGTTCATGAGAGGAACATTCTAGGCTCGACAAAAGTAATCTGTGGATGAACACCATAATATCTCAAAGTGCAGCTATCTCTGAGCTTCATTCAAACTTGTACTCCTCACTTTTAAAGAAAATTTTCGAAGCTCTTCATACTACACTTTGTTGCTTAGCTTGCGGCATATAGTGCCTTCGGATCTTAACTTCACAATAGGTACTTACAAACAATCAGTCATTAATCATTACTGCATAGAGCACACTGAATCCTATCAAACCAACCGGAAATTTCGGGGAAGACGGGAGCGGAACCTTCCTTCGGCGGAGAAGTTGAAAGAGAAGTGCAACACCGGTCTTCTTTTAGGGCGACGGAGTGCTATCGTTCAATCGNTCTCAGGAGGTTAGCATATCCTCCTTTGCTTTGATTCCCGGTCTGATGGTATATTTCCCATGCTCCCATATTTTGTTTTCCAGAGGCCGACCAATTATCCGGGGAAACCCTCATCGGAGGATGGAGTGTCTCTTTCTCATGCTCGAATGTACGGTGCCTGGAGAAATGCCGTGTGGGGAGGCAGCGGGATTAGCCAACGCTTCTCTATGCTCGCAGAGGCGGATCTTCAAGGGTTTCGCGTTCTTCCCCACGTACTTCTCTCCACATCTACACGTACATAATATGATCACAATAGATGCAGCAGCTATTATTGTATAAGTATTCTATTAAATATAAAAGATCTATTTTGTAATACCTGCATTTTGGCTTCCCTTCTATAATACCTGCATAAAAAGTATAATAACTATTTGTGGCAATGAAATGTTTACTGGCATTTTTAACGTATATATTCAATAGCTCTTTCATATTATGAGATATGTCCGTAGGTTTCACATTTGTAGACATATCGGCAAAATCTGCCGTATATATTTCGACCAGTTGGGCTATGCACGCTAACGCGTGCATTATATGCCGACGGCCCCTTGTTTACAATGGAGTCATTAAGCGGAATATTGGATTATCACAATAAGATAGTTATATTCAAACGCTGAACTGATGAGAGCATCACGCTCAATATATTTCATTTGAGCAGACTATTAGTGGTTGATCTAGCCCGTCCACCTCAGTGCAGACCCTTTCCACTATAAAAGCTAGACCACCCGTCTTTCAACTGCTCCTACCCATTTTCTCCACACCTTAGAGAGTTTTCGAGGAGATGAATTCTTGGCCCTTGCCCCGCTTCCCTGTGCCAGCACCGCTCAGTTCGAGGACTTAAGCGCATTTGTTCCAATACATCTGACCACGTTTCCCCGCGTTCTATGACGTTCCGAACGAATGGAGTTATGAAGTTTTGATCCAAGCCCCCCCCCACTTTGGTGCCAGCCCCGCCCACTTTGAGAATTTGACTACATTTGATACATTACCTCTATACTTTTCTTCCCTGCGTTCTAGAATGTTTCTGAACAGAGTTGTGAAATTTCGACACGAGCCCTGCCGGGAGTCGGCATTTAGTTCCACGGTTCCACACTTCTAATTACTTCGCACCTTCCTCGCGCATCCACTCACTCGCCTGTGGGGTGACCTCGCTTAATTAGTTGGCTGTGACCTTTCTGGCAGTCTGAGTGAACTGATATTGATCCTATGGATGGATATGAATAAGAAGGAGCAACAGTAGCAGCTAATCCTGAGTTGAAGCCGAGAAAGCTCTGTAGTCGAAATCAGAGTAGTGTAGGTGAGACACCGTGCTCATGCGATGACAAGCACACTACAGAGGTGATTTGTGATGCTTTCATCCACATATTTGAATACCTTCAAGTGACCTACTGGCGGTGTCCAAAGAAAGCGATTGAGGGTGTTAAANGGGAGTCGGCATTTAGTTCCACGGTTCCACACTTCTAATTACTTCGCACCTTCCTCGCGCATCCACTCACTCGCCTGTGGGGTGACCTCGCTTAATTAGTTGGCTGTGACCTTTCTGGCAGTCTGAGTGAACTGATATTGATCCTATGGATGGATATGAATAAGAAGGAGCAACAGTAGCAGCTAATCCTGAGTTGAAGCCGAGAAAGCTCTGTAGTCGAAATCAGAGTAGTGTAGGTGAGACACCGTGCTCATGCGATGACAAGCACACTACAGAGGTGATTTGTGATGCTTTCATCCACATATTTGAATACCTTCAAGTGACCTACTGGCGGTGTCCAAAGAAAGCGATTGAGGGTGTTAAAGAAGCTTGAAAGATCACTCTGTTAACTACTTTGCCTGTAGGCGTCATGTGAGAATGAATGCTCACACGATGCGATGAACCCTTTTCCCAATGCTATGATTTTTCCAATATTACTTTAGCCTCCACAGCTTTCTGTGTTGCACTATTAAACTGTTGCATATTTATTTTTTGTTTTGCCTATTTTTCATGTTTTAAAGTTTCTTAATCATATAATCGATAATGTTACTCCTGAGTATGGCTGTGTGGCAGAGAGGTCAGCAGCCAACCAAATGAGCGAGGCCACCCCACAGGCAAGTGAGTGAATGGGCGAGGAAGGCGCGAAGTAATTAGACGTGGAACTAAATAGGCTCACCCGAGCCCTGCCCACTCTGGTGCTGGCCCCGCCCACTTCGGGAATTTGACCGCATTTGTTCCATTACTCTAACCACTTTTTCCCGCATTCTAGAATCTTTCCGAACGATCATTTTTAAAGCTTCCACCTCAACGCACGCCCCGCCCATCGTGGGCGGAGCTTCGCTACGCTCACGCACGTCCAGCATGCTTAAGAGCTTGCTCACTCTATTTATCTTTTTCCTGGCCTCGACGCCTTCGTTGAATCGAGTTATGAATTTCTGTGGAAAGTATCGCCCAATGCAAGAACACTCCGCCCACCGCCGGTAAGTTTCCTTCACTTTAATTGTTTACTAATCTCCCACCTTTGCACATTTTCCCCGGCGTCTGGACTTTATAAGACCGAATGAGAAGAATTTGCCCATGACCCCGCTCAGTTCCGGTGCATGCCCCGCCCCTTGTAGGAGCTCCGCTAGGCTCACATGTGCTCTGTTGCTCTTATCCTATGACCAACCCATCACGAAAGTGACCCGACTCCTGCATGTGCTTCTTCAGATAATATCGAATTTCCGTACAAGCACACACACAAGCACACACACATACAGACGCGAGCGCTTTATGTAGTAAGGATATTCCTTCCTGTTATGCTGCATAGTTTCTGTTCTATAATAATACTATTGTGCAGCATGATGAGATCGTATCATTTCTTTCTTAAACCGTTTTAGTACAACTAATATAACATTTTTTTCATATGAGTATAGAGAACTTGTGTTTCTTCACCTGAAGACTTCATGTTACTTCTTCTGTTATAGCTTCTGCAGTGAACCTGGACTTGACTGGGTCTTGGTGAAGATTCGATAAAGCATATAGATAATTTTCATATTCTCCTTCAAGTTTTGAATCATTACTGTCACAAAAAATAATGTTTCATTATTAGAAAAAAATGGCTGTAGTACTTCTTCAGTTCGTGGGTAGGGTTGTCGTCACTGCATGTGAAAGTATTGTAAATGTGATCTTAAACAATGCCCACTTCTTGCACTTAAATGTATGCATAATATTTCTCGCATACTATACAGTATTATAATTATTAACGGCCTTGTCTTAGAGACAGGAAATATATTTATTTCGCTACTTTCATAATATGTGGTGAGCTGTCATTTTTCTGCGGTAACTTTTTTTAAAACAACTAAATAATCGGATTTCTTTGTAATCTGTTCAGTTTATACTTACCTCAAAAGATCCAATACTTCTTGTATCAAATCTTTGTATACATATATTCCTATCCTTTTCCTTCTGATTCTCTCATCTATTCTATATTTTGAGACTGCGCTTAATATTTTCGCAAGCTATTTGTTTTAGTTATGTTCAAACATAGCGTACTTACGTAATCCGTACATTTCCGATTGGCTACAGATGCGCACTTGCAATTTTGCATGAGTATTTCTTTTGGATTTTCATTGTTGAGATTTCTAAGAAATTGACTAATTACAAACTTCACCAGTCACGTAGTTAGCACAACTGAAAACAACACTGAAGGGTGTGAACCTACCGTCATACAAACGGTAGTTAGTTTTAGCACAACCCGAGGACGCACCAGTGGCTTCGAGCATAAGCACACTTTTGTCGTGAAAGCGAAGATGGCCCCGTATATTATTTCTTGCGATATTCAGTCCCCACGAGTTGCGGTTTTGAAGATCAAGTTGCAAAAGCTGTGAAGTCGAATGCTCAAAATCGTGCAAGTATATGCGCCCACTGCATCAGCAGAGGACGACGAACTTGAGCGTTTCTACGAGGAAATAGAGAGGGCATTGAAGCTCAAATCGACGTACACTATAGCGATTTCAACGCGTAGTCGGCTCCCGATTGGACGGTATGGAACACGTCTAGAAAGGTACGGCGCAGGAGTAAGAAACGAAAGAGGAAACCGTCTAATCGAGTTTGCAGAACAACACAAATTCTCGATAATGAACGCTTTCTTCGAGAAAAAAGCTAAGCGTCTTGGGACATGGAGGAGCCCGGACACGAAAACTTCAAGACAGATTGATTATATGCTTACCGATACACCGAGATTGTTCGCTGACGTCTCCGTTATTGGGGAAAGTGTGATTGCGACCGGCTCCGATCACCGACTTCTACGCCCGGTGATCCTCTGCGATGTCAGGAAAGAGAATCTATTTCCACATTAGCAAAAAACAATCATACGACGTACTTTCAATGGCTGCTTTCATAGTCCGCCGGCCGGCGTGCCGGTGGAGGCAGTGCTAGCGGGGAGGAGGGAGGCAGACAGATAGGCAAACAGTCTACGCCCCTTCGAGGGGTTGAAAACAAATAACCTTCGAAGGGGCGTGGACT